CAGGAATGTACTTATCCAGAGGAAGAGATACTTCTTCACACAATACATAATGTGTAATTTACTGCCACAGTGTGGTGAAGGCTAATAACTCAAGACAGTTTTAAAAAATTATACCAATTCATGGAGGACAGGCCTGTCAACACCTATGAGTCACGACAGCTAAATGTTCACAGACATTACACATCTGGGTGCTAAATGCTTGGGGGTAAACAAGAAGGGGAGGGCTCTTGCCTTCACACCCCAGAAGCATCAGGCTGGCTTCTCTTGGGGGAAAAAACCTGGGCAACTTGGACTTTGGACTGATTAAGCAGGTCACATGAATGCATGTGTCTCAAACACTGAACACAAATGAAGCTGCCTTATCCTGAATCAGACCTTTTGGTCCATCAGAGTCAGTATCGTCTACTCAGACTGGCAGCTGCTCTCCAGGGTCTCTGGCTAAGGTCTCTCACATCACCTACTGCCAGATCCTTCAACTGGAGATGCCAGGGGTTGAACCTGGGACCTTCTGCATGCCAAGCAGATGATCTACCACTGGCCCCTCCCCCAAAGAGGACATACATGAACATATGATGCTGCCTTATACTGAATCAGACCACTGGTCCATCACAGCGAGTATTGTCTACTCAGACCAGCAACAGCTTTCCAGGGTCTCAGGCAGAGGTCTTTCACATTTTATTTAGTTAATGGAATTTCTAGACCGCCCTCCCCTATAAACAGGGCTCAGGGCGGTGCACAACAGTAAAAGGTAAAGGTAAAGGTTCCCTTGCTCGAAAGCCAGTCGAATCCGACTCTAGGGTTGCGGTGCTCATCTCCATTTCAAAGCCGAAGAGCCAGCGCTGTCCGAAGACGTTTCCGTGGTCATGTGGCCAGCATGACTAAACACCGAGGTGCACGGAACGCTGTTACCTTCCCGCCAAAGTGGTACCTATTTATCTACTTGCAATTTCTTGCTTTCGAACTGCTAGGTTGGCAGGAGCTGGAACTAGAGATGGGAGCTCACTCCATCATGCGGCACACCCGGGTCTCGAACTGCTGAACTACTGACCTTCCACAGCCTGCAGTTCAGCATATTAACCACTTGAGCCACCGCAGCTCCACAACAGTAAAAACACAACCATAATTTAAAATTCACAATAAAAACAATAAAAATACAGCAATTAATCTAATTTTATGGTGCTGAGAAACTAAATTGTGTCTCTATCCCGTGGAGGGGGAAGCAAGAAGGACAAGCGTTCCAGACAGATTCTACCTGATTCTTTCAATTGGAGATACCAGGAATTGAACCTGGGACTTTCTGCATGCGAAGCAGATCCTCTACCTCTGAGCCACAGCCCTCAAGACAGAAGTCTTTCACATTGCCTCACCTACTACCTGTTCCTCTTAGCTAGAGAACCCAAGGACTGAACCTGGGACCTTGGACGTGCCAGGCACATGCTCTACCACCAAGGCACAGCTCTGCCCCTGTCAAGAAGGTCAGGGTTTTATTGTTGGGGCGAAAAGCATGGTAGAGCAAAATAAATAAAATTAATAATAAAGAAATAACTGAGAGAAGAAAAAAAGAGTGTCAGTTCTTAAATCCAGGCGAGATGAGTGAATGACATCATGAAGACTATCCAATGGGGGCTAAAGGGAGCCATAGGCTCATCCATTTCCACAGCCCTGGCTGTGATACTGAAAGGTGTCCAGTAGCACTTTCAAGGCTAATGAAATTTATTCCACTGTCTAAGGAGCAACCAGACCCCTGTTTTACTTTCTTGGCACAAAGTAGCATGGCCAGGGCTGGTCTGGGAGGAACCCTGGAAAAGCCCCCACAAAGGAGTGCAGAAGGAGCCAGCCCACCCTGCAGCTCTACCAGGCCCTGTGCTGGGAGCCACCTTCCCCAAACTAGTCCCAGCCAAGTGGGGACACAGGCCATTGGCCCACCAGGAAACTCTCCAGTGGCTATGAGGCCCACTCCACCCCTCAACATGGAGCTGGGCTACTGGATTCTCACAGGGCAATCACCTAGGGTGCCCAAGGTGGAGAGATATCATCCAGCCCTGTCACTGCCTGCAGCATTGGGGTCTGCCCAAGGAGGTGCCCCAGCTCCAGTGGGTGTTCACTTCCTCCATCCCTCTCCCATGGATATGGGAGGTGCAAAGTGGGGGAGCAGCTGCTTCCCTGTGGTGGGGGAAGGGGAAGCTGTTTGGGGTACCCAAAATTCTTAGATTCTCATTTCTGGCTTTTCGTAGAGACTTTTTGAAAGATTACAAAAATCTGAAAACCTGGTTTGACCAGTGATCAGGCATAGAAAGAGGGGAAATTAACATATGCACTGTGGGCCAGTTCAGTTCTACAACGTTCCTTCGTAAATTACCAAATTTACTTATGTAAACAGCCTCTGTGGTCTGAAGATTTTTTTTAATTTAGATATTTATACCCCACTTTCTTTCCCAATGGAGGATCCAGAGCTTATAGAATAATTCCCTCCTCCTGGGTTTTATCCTCAACAACTATCCTATGGCAGGATAGCCTGAGAGAGAGAGAGAGAGAGAGACAGACAGACAGACAGACTTTCCCAAGGTCACCCTTTGAGCTTTCACAACAAAGTAGGGATTGGGACCTGGGTCTTCTGGTTCCTAGTCCAGTACTCTAACTACCGATTCTGGAGGGATGCTTGAATATTAGCGTCTTTCCAGATTTTACTGTTAGAGTTGTGGGGAGGGAAGCAACCTTAGCAGGGTATAGTGCCACAGAGTCCACCCTCCAAAGCAGCCATTTTCTTCAGGGGAACAGATCTCTGTCATCTAGAGATCAGTTTCAATTCCAGGTGATCTCCATCCCCCACCTGGAGGCTGGCAACCCTAGTTCCCCTAGAGGAAATGGCTGCTTTGGGATGGAGCCTGTGGCATTATACCCTTCTGAGGTCCCTCCCCTCCTTAAATCCCACCTTCCCCAGGCTCCACACCCCACATCTCTAGACTTTTCAGACCCTACTCTAAGCTTACCTTCCCTCCACCCTGTCCAGCACCATTAGTTGTCTCTGAAGAGCAGCCTCACTTCTCTCAGGTGTCCCAAAAGGAGGATCCCTCTCATTCTTGTATTTAAGACCAAGGGTTTAAGTGCTGTGCAGTAGTTCAGTGTTGGTCTAAGATCTGAGAATCCCCCTCTGCCCTGGTGACATTGGGCCAATCACTTTCTCTCAGCCTAACCTACCTCTCTGGATTGTTGTGAGGACAGAACAGAGGAAGGGAGAAAGATGTAACCAGCTCTGGGGTCAGAAAACTGGGAGGGGGGTATAAATAAAGAATAGATGTCAATACAGAGTTCAGTTCTCAGCATGTATGAGCCCCGCCAAGAGCAGTGGAACTGGCTCCCCGAGAACTGTGTTTAGGACTGTAAGGTTTCTTTGATTTACTTGCCAGGCGAATTAATGGGCTGTCGTCCACATTAGGGATATGTGTGGGTAGCTCTATACAGAGACGTTTCTCGGTAGTAAACTCTACGGCGTAGCCCCCTGCAGGTAACTAGAATAACTGCAGGTGTTTGAACAAAGTTTGAGTCCAATGCCTCCGGACTCCAACTTTGTTCCAGTGCTTATGGCTGCCCACCTGGATCTGTCTTCATCCAGGCTTTTGAGAAGGGAGGTTTGGGCTTCCAAAGGAAGACCTTTCAATAGGACTAGATTTGAGTCCAGTGGTTTTTTTTTAAGACCAACAAGTTTCATTCCGAGTTTAAGCTGTCGTGTGCATGCGCACTTAGAAGTCTGCGTGCACACTTCGAATTCTGGATATAAGCTTTCGTGTGGCATGCACACGACAGTTTATGCCCAGATTTAAACTTTGTTGGACTTAAAGGTGCCACCGCCGGACTCAAACGTCGTTCTGTTGCTTCAGAGTTCAGACCAGCACCACGGCTATCCCCGCCCGACTCTATTTTCAATCGGGCTGTTTGGGAAAGTGGTGGTGGGAGGGGGGGGTATGCTGCCTCCCCCCCCCTCCTCCGCGACCCATTTGAACCCTGCTCCGGACTCCGTGGCTGTGCAGGGAGATGAAGAGAGCGCGTGTGCCCCCCCCCCCGCCCCCCGAGGTCCACGCAGGCACCTTCCCTAAATCTCCTTCCAGAATTTATCGCAGGCATCAACCCCCTCGCGGGAGGAAAGAAAGGAAGAAATATCGTCGGCTCGGAGACACCCGGTGAGAAATGTGGAGCCGGCGAGGGTGTCGCCTCGGGGGGTGAGATTGACTGGCGGTGATGTCAACCCGACGTGCGCGGCGGCGAGGGAGAAGCCCTCTCTGCCCCTCTCCCGCCCGCCCCGCCTGGCCAGAGGGAGCCGTCCCGTCCCGTCCCCCGCGTCATCCCCGGCACCGCTTATAAATAGGCTGCCGTCCGGGCGATGGCTGGGGTGGGTCAGCTCAGCAGCCTCCGCTCGCCCGTCTGCGCCCAAGCAGGAAAGCCCCCGGAGAAGCTGCCTCCGCGGAGAGTGCGAGCGAGCCAACGCGCGCTCCGAGTCTGGGGCCCTTGCTGGAAGCGAGCGCGGTTTGCCGTTTGCACCTTTCGGCCGAAGCAGGCGCTCCGTCGTCGGCGATGTGGGCCGTCGTGGCGAGCCTCTGGCTGGGCGTCTTCCGGGCCACGGCCGGCCTGCCGGGCTCCCCCTGCGAGCCGGTGCGCATCCCCATGTGCCGCCACATGCCCTGGAACGCCACCCGCATGCCCAACCACCTGCACCACAGCACGCAGGAGAACGCCGTGCTGGCCATCGAGCAGTACCAGGAGCTGGTGGAGGCCGCCTGCAGCCCGGTGCTGGCCTTCTTCCTCTGCGCCATGTACGCGCCCATCTGCGCCGTCGAGTTCCTCCACGACCCCATCCGGCCCTGCAAGTCGCTCTGCCAGCGGGCCCGCGACGGCTGCGAGCCCCTCATGCGCCGCTACAACCACAGCTGGCCCGAGGCCCTGGCCTGCCACGACCTGCCCGTCTACGACCGCGGCGTCTGCATCGCCCCCGAGGCCATCGTCACCGATCTGCCCGAAGGTGAGCCCGGCTGGGCAGGGGCAGGGGGCGGCGAGGGGGTGGGTGCGATCAGGGCACCTTCCTAAACCGCAGGTTACCCACCTTAGAGGTCGTCGTCGCCGTCCTCCTCCTCCTCCTCCTCCTCATTATCATCATCTCCACCTGAGAAGGTGCCTCTCTGATTTCCTTGGAACTTTCTTTCCAAGGCCTGAGCTTTTCATCCCAGGCATCCATACTCAAAGCAGTAGGCTAGACAATTGGTCCCTTCCAAGGGTGTAGACTTTCCAATTTCCCGGGGGGGGGGGGGGGGGCGGGGCCTGGGGCCGCGGGATGTTTTTGCCTGCAAGGGTGGCTCCCGGGGGAGGCTGAGCACCTTCCTGAAAATTTCGGCAGGGGCTAACGCCCCACCGCCCCCACGAAGATTACGCCTATGAGTCCCTCCCTATTCCTGCTCGGTGATTGCCCCCTTGTCCATTTTTCATTTCTTCACTCACATCCCTCCTTTCTCCCGTGGGGGCCAAAAGCGGCTGATATTGTTCGGCTCCGTGTGATCTTCGCAACAGCCCTGCGGGGTGGGTTATGTGACTGGCCCAAGGTCACCCAGCCAGCTTCCAGGGCAGAGTGGGGATTCGAACCTGGGTCTCCCAGATCCGAGTCCGGCACTTGAGGCTCTCTGTTCCCGTTACAGTTTGGTCAGGTCACTGGGTGCAAGTTCTGGACTGGGAAGGAACGGAGCAGATCTGTTCTTTTAAAAGTGGGGTTTTTTTTGTGTGTGTGTTTTATTCTGCCTTTGCTGGGGTCTTAATGAGGTTGCTTTTAATCGAGTCAGATTTATTTCCCGAATGCTTGCGTTTTCATCTGTTCGCTTTGCATACTGGACCACCACTCTGAGCACACCAGCAAAAGCAGTGGGTAAATAGAGAGAACCAATGAAGACCCCTGCCTCCTCCCAGTTCCCCAGGCTGGAACCAAGGTGGTGATCCTACGCACGTGTTGACTCGGGAGTAAATCTGATGGGACGCAGTGGGATCTGCTTTGCTGCTGAGTATGGATGAACATCAGCTTTGAAAAGGGGGGGATCTGTTGAGATTCACGGGAGGGTTTCAGGCATCAGGCGAAGGGGAAATGCTCTGTCCCCTGAGGTAGGTCTAGACCTGTCAAACAGTTTTCAGGATGGACAAGTTCCCTCCCTCCAGATCCTTCCTGACCAAACCCTTCTTGTCTTTTTGTCTCCCCTTGTCCAGAGGACGTGAAGTGGATTGACTTATCTGACGACGTGATGGTCCAGGAGAGACCCCCGCCCGTCGAGTGCAAGCAGGTCAGCCCCGGTGAGTCTCTCTTTCCCCTCCGCCCCGCGAGCTTCTTGAAAGCGAATCCCAGCACCGAAGAGTGTGCCTGGTTATATGTCCTCCATCTCTTGTTATTCTCTCTCTTTTACCCAAAAGGTCGCTGCAAATGTAGGAAGATCAAGCCCACGCTGGCCACGTACCTAATCAAAAACTACAGCTATGGTAAGTTTATTAAAAAAACAGCAACACAAAACTCTGCATTTTGTCCAAGTGTTTGGACTCACCTCGTTTCCTCCTTCCTTTTCATCACTATATCATTTTTCCCTCTTAGACTGCTGTGGACAGGATCTCTTTTCACCATTATGAAATCTGACCCATTGATTAGCCAACCGATATCTTGAGGGGAAGGGTTAAAAGAATCCGTCACTTCTCTTTTTTCCCCCTGGTTTCCTTGTACTTTCTCCCACAATCTAACTAGTGAAAAGGGCACTGATCTTTAGGAGGCTGAAATTCTCAGGGAGAGCAAATACGAGCAGTTGTTAATCCCAAATAGATCATTTCTAATGTACCATCAGCAAACATCTAGTTTGTGGTCTAAGTTGATAGCTCTAAAACAGTTGTTTTCTGGAGAAATTAAAGACCACCGTGTGTCTCAAATAACATGGGCCCTGATTTTACAGGTAAAAGAAAAACTCTTTGGATACAAGCTGGACTAAGGTGGACAGAAATCCCATTGAAATGCATGGGTTTTTAAGGTGCTTAAATGAAAGATTAGGGTTCTGATCCCATGCACACTTATTTGGGATAAGCCTTATTGTAGTCAGTGGTGTTAACTCTGAAACATGCACAGAGCGTTCCAGAGATTTACTCAGAATTACAACCCAATCCTAATCATGTTTACTTGGAAGCAGGTACCACTCATTTTACTGGGTCCATTATAATCAGTGGTAAAGGTAAAGGTTCCCTTGCTCGAAAGCCAGTCGAGTCCGACTCTAGGGTTGCGGTGCTCATCTCCGTTTCAAAGCCGAAGAGCCAGCGCTGTCCAAAGACCTTTCTGTGGTCATGTGGCCGGCATGACTAAACACCAAGGCACACGGAACGCTGTTACCTTCCCACCGAAGCGGTACCTATTTATCTACTTGCAGTTTCTTGCTTTCGAACTGCTAGGTTGGCAGGAGCTGGAACTAGAGACGGGAGCTCACTCCGTCATGCGGCACTTGGGTCTCGAACTGCTGAACTACTGACCTTCCATAGCCTGCAGTTCGGCGTCTTAACCACTTGAGCCACCGCATGCTCCATATAATCAATGGTACCTGTGTCCAATTAGATATGACTGGGAAGCTTTCTAATAAGTTTGCATGGGATTGTAGCTGTGCACCCCAATCTTATGTGTGTTTTCCCAGAAGCGTTCCACTGAATTTAACAGAATTGACTGCCAAGTGGGTGTGCACCACCCCCAGGACTCTATACAGTGGTTAGAATGTCACACTAGGATCCAGGAGACCCAGGTTCGAATCCCTACTCTGCTGTGAGGTTAAAATGGAGACAGGAAGAATGTTGTAAACCACTCGGGGTCCCCTTTGGGGAGAATACATATGAAGTACATATACAGTGAATTAAATAAATATATCCTGATATCCTGATGTGTAGATAGTTGAAGAGGGGAGCCATGCTGGTTTAACAGCTGGATTTAAGTCCAGTAGCACCTTAGAGAAGTACAAGATTTTGGGGGTATAAGCTTTTGGGAGCTTTGACTCTTGAAAGCTCATACACCGAAAACCTTGGTCTCCAAGGTGCTCCAGGACTCAAATCTGACTGATGTGTTCGATGTGATCTAGTAAAGGCAAAAATAATCTGTACTGAAGCCAGTTTGACTCCTTTCCAAGCGAAGATGTTTCAGCTTGAGGCAGTATTCTTCTGTAGAGATCACAAGAGGAGGTCAGAATCTTCCCTTCCCATGTGAAAATGAACAAATAATCAAATAATTAAATTACAATTTTAGAGAAAGTGATATTGATTTTACTAAGTGGAACTATGGGAAGGGAGGAAGGAAGGAAGGAAGGAAGGAGGGAAGGAAGGAAGGAAGGAAGGAAGGAAGGAAGGAAGGAAGGAAGGAAAGAGATTTGTTGTGCAGTTTTGCTATGCCTTTTAAATATGACTTTTTAAAAATTGCATCTTTTTCTAGATGTCTATGGGGTAAACTTTTGTGAGACACACACACACACACACACACACACACACACCAGCCAGCTTCTTTTTCTCAACCATTTAACGTTTTTCATTAGTAGTAGCAGCAGCAATACTTAATTACTCATTATTTATGCAGCCCCTAGAACACCCCTTTGATGAACTACAAGGAGCCACATTGCTTGCACTCAGGTTTAGAACAGTGTTCCCTCTAAGCTGAGTTAGTGTGAGCTAGCTCATAGTTTTTTAGCCTCCGGCTCACACATTTTTGTCTTAGCTCAGGTAGGATGACTCCAGAGCAAACTAATTTATGCAGCAGCCAAATCGCTCGCTCAGAACTCTAATGCCAGTAGCTCACAAAGTAGGATTTTTGCTCACAAGACTCCACAGCTTAGAGGGGGCATTGGTTTAGAATCTCCGAGGTGGGATCCAGAAGGGGTAGGAAGGGGATGGGATGCATTCAGATGAGGTGGGAAAGCATATTTTGCAGCCCACTCGATCAAGAGCTTTGGCTAACAGGACTGGATCAAAATTTTATCATTTCTACATCTACGCTGCTTTTCAGCTCTTTAGTCCCTAGAGCAGCTGATGGTAAAGAAAAACGGGATCAATAAATCACCAGTACCCTGGTCCATCTCAAGAGATTCCTGCATACATAACGTACTGGATCAGGATGAAATGGCAGGCATAAATCTAACATGTATCCTAATATGCATCAGGATATACGTCCAAGAGCAGATGCTGTGTATATCCTTCCAGACCGTATCACTTTTAGGAGGATGTGCATCTGAATGCAGAGATCCATTCACATGTTGATCCCTCCAAATCCACAATTGCTTTAACAGCAGCTAGAGGGATACAAGCAATCCCTCAGAAGTTTTGAAAGAAGGAACAAATTTTAACACCCTTATGGCCAAGGACATGGGTTGGAGAGGTTTCCCTCAGGAGGGGATCCCAGAAAGCAGTATCCACTACAGAGAAAGCATTACTTGTGGTTATTGAGGGTTGAAGGCAGCCAACATTTGGGAGAAACATGCATACAGACTCATTGGCCTCTGCTCATTTTGATGGAAGGGTCTTTTCTTCCATGCCAACAACCCCCCTTGGTGTGTTCACTCAACAAGTCCCATAATTCAAGGGGACGTCCTTCCTAGAGCTGTAATCTTCACCACTGTGCCTGGTGGCACCATGGTGCTTACAAATGCATTTGGCTGGCACCCACTTCCTTCTTCTCTAAAGAAAAGAGTCAATCGTAGCTTTCCTGCGTCTCAGAATAGCCCAGGAGGCATGAGCTTTGTGTCTGCAGGGAGCACCCATTTGGAAACTGCCTCCATTGAAAGATCTTCCCACCATTTTCTGATTGGACCTACCATCCACGGCAGCTGTTTTGTGGCGGTGCCCATTACCTGTTTTCCACATTCCAAGTGCCTCCATGCTGAACATGGTTGGGGTCTCCTGCCCTAGAAAGTGAGCGATGCAAAAGGGTTGTTTGGGACTTCCTTCAGCGTTAATGCACACCGTTTATTTATGCATAACAGTTGCATTGTGTGTTGCAGTTCTTCGTGCGAAAGCCAAGAGCTTCGAGAGAGGCAGCTGTAACGAAATCATCACAACTGTCGAAGTGATAGATGTACTCAAATCTTCAACTCCAATTCCCCGTTCTCAAGTCCACCTGTACACGAATTCATCCTGCCGGTGCCCGCCTCTTGCACCTAATCAAGACGTCCTCATTATGTGTTATGAGTGGCGCTCAAGGTAAGCGATCATACCATAGCAAGAAATAGCATTTGAGTTTACAGGCATTTTGTTCTTTTTTTTTTGGCAAATGAATTCCTGTGCATACATCGTCTACTGAAATGACTGGGGTTGCCCTTGAAGACTTTCTGCAGACTTCACTTTGTTATCGGGGGCTGGCTGGTGGGACTCTGTCACTCCCATTTTGAGGTCCATGCAGGGGCTGCCTATTTGTTTCTGGGTCCTCGGGTCCAGGTGCAGATGCTCACCTTCATAGCCCTCCACAACCCAGGGCCTACGTACTTGAAGGACCGCCTCTCCCTGCATGTTCCCTTGTGGCAGATTCCTTCTTCCCGGGCACATCCATGGTCAGTACCTGCTTCCCGGGCACATCCATGGTCAGTACCTGCTTCGCAAGGGTCCATAACGGGGCTTTTTCAGTGGCTGCCCCAGGCTTGGGAAACAGCTTCCCAGAAGATGTCAGGGGAGTGTCTGCTCTCCTGGCCTTCCAGAGAGTCTGTATAACAGAACTTTTGTCAGAGCATTTCGGGCCAGTCTGTGTCTCTGCAAAGGAGGAGTCTCTTGTTAGTTGGGTGCTGGTATGTTAATGTAGTTCTAATGTATTCTGTATTTATTGTACTAAAGTTTAATTGGTTTTAAACTCTTGATTGTACATTGATTTTATTGCATTTCACGTTATTGCTATCTGCCATGGGTCCTGAGTTGCTGGAAAGAAAGGCAGACATATAGCTATTTTCAATAAATAAATATGCCGGGCCAGCTCCATGTCTGGCTAGTGTGCTAGACTTCTGATTGGAGAGATCGAGGTTGCGATCCTAGCCCATCCATGAAGTTCATTGGCTCAATCGCAGTCTCTCAGCCTGTCCTACCAATAAGAGTTCTGAGTTTTTTGGAAGAAGAAACGGATAGGTGTTTGATTATTATTCACAACAAACTCTGAGCTCCCACGCCCTTAGGAGGAGAAGAAGAAGAAGAAGAGATTGGATTTATACCCTGCCCTTCACTTGGAGTCTCAGAGCGGCTTACAAACTCCTTTCCCTTCCCCTCCCCACAACAGACACCCTGTGAGGTGGATGGGGCTGAGAGAACTCTGACACAATCTGCTCTTTCTCAAGGACAGCTGTGCCAGAGCTTGTGACTGACCCAAGGTCACATCAGCAGGTGCAAGTGGAGGAATGGGGACTCAAACCCGGTTCTCCCAGATTAGAGTCCGCACACTTAACCACTACACCAAACTGGTGACTTATGAGTTCTTTGGGAAAGAGATGGTGAAATTTAGGGGAGGGGGAGAGACAGGAGGTAAGCAAAACTTTGAGTTAAAGTCACCAGGCTCTACTGGTAGCAGGAGCTCCTTTGCATATTAGGCCACACACCCCTAGTGTAGCCAATCCTCCAAGAGTTTACAGTAGTCCCAGTAAGAAGAGCTCTGTAAGCTCTTGGAGGATTGGCTACACTAGGGGTGTGTGGCCTAATATGCAAAAGAGCTCCTGCTACCAGTAGAGCCCAGCATTCCGTGCGCCTCGGCCACATGACCACGGAAATGTCTTTGGACAGCGCTGGCTCTTCGGCTTGGAAACGGAGATGAGCTCCGCATCCCTAGAGTCAGATTCGACTGGCTTTTGAGCAAGGGAAACCTTTACCTTTACTTAAGGGTTAAGGGGGCGGGAGCATAGCTTGGTAGGGGAACCCATGTTTTGCACAGAGGATTGCAGGTTCAATCCTTGGCAACTTCAGCTGAGAGGACATCCCCTCTCAGGAAAGGCCTCTTCTTGCCTGAGACCCTCACAGACTACTACTTTACCTAGAGGGACTAGGGATGAGACTCCATATAAAGCAGCTTCATATTATTTTTGTATGGGATGAATGTCCAATTTTTATTCTGGTGATAATGGGACTGGAAACTGGGGGATGAGTCAGAAACATGATATTGATTAATCTTGCGGTATTTGAGGCTGTGTGGAGCATCCGGGTAAAGGCTTTCAAAACAAATACAGCTCGGGAATTCGGGAAAGTTTAGAAAGAGTTCCATAATTCCGATATGGAACAAGTTTGCCAGTGCTGCTTTTAAAGGTCACTGAGGTTTTCATTATATTCGCTTTGTCAAAGGATTTTGGAGATGTCAGCAGAAACAACATATTGTTTTTTCCCATTGAACTGGGTGCTATGTAAACAGGGCTAGAGTTACAGTGGCTTTTAAAAAGGTCAAACCGAACGGTCACTTGCTTGGAAGAGGGCTGAAGAAAACACCACATTCTTGTTCCTATCGCCGTCTCCCCTGTCATGACTATATTGAGGGAGTGAGAGGCATTTGTAAGCAATGTCCGACTCAGCCCGGGATTAGGGAATGCAGAAGTGTTGTGGTGAATTTAGGCCATAGCAGTAAATGCTTTGTAAGAGTCTGGCTGCGTCCACATGCAAAAAACCATGGTCCTACCACGGCCGCAGCAACACATTGGTCCTTTCCGCACTAGACCTTAAATCCTGGCTCAGCCCTGTCCCCGAACTTACATTCTATGCTACATGTGAGTTCACCCCTGTAATTATCTCGGGGTATCTTTTGTTTCCACATTACATTGAGGTCACCCCGGTTTTGCCCCACACTTGTCCCGGGATAAGTGGATGCTGTTGTAACCAGGGATAACTGCAAGGTGTTGTGTCGCGAGTTGAACTCTGATGAAACCAGGGATGAGATCCAGGTGCGGAAAGGACCAAAGTGCAGGGACATGCTGGAATGGCATCCCCACCACCCATTCCTGCATTGCTTCTTTTGGCTGCCCCCAATTTGGTGTAGTGGCTAAGAGTGGCGAACTTTAATCTGGAGAACCAGGTTTATTTATTTATTTATTTATTTATTTATTTATAGGTTCAATTTATACCCCGCCCTCCCCACTCCTCCACATGCAGCTGCTGGTGTGACCTTGGGCCTGTTACAAGTTCTTTCAGAGCTGTTCTCTCAAGGGCAGTTCCTCTCAGAGCTCTCTCAGCCCCACCTACCTCACAGGGTGTCTGTTGTGGGGAGAAGAAGGGAAGGAGATTGTAAGCCGCGCTGAGACCCTAAGTGAAGGGCGGGCTATAAATCCAATCTTGTCTTCTCCTCCTGCTCCTTCTCCTCCGCCTCCTCTCCCTTCCTGTCTCATGCCTGCGCAGAAGCATAGCTACAACAACGGTCATGCCGGAATCCACCATAACCAGAAACCTCCCTTTCCCCTCCCTTTCCTTATCAAGCTGTGCTGTAACACAGTTCAGCAACAGGAAAGTGTGTGTGCCCGTGTGTGTGTGTGTGTGGGGGGGATACATCTAAAGGATTAAAGAAGCAGAGTAGGGTTGCCAGCCTCCAGGTTGTAGCTGGAGATCTTCTGGGATCACAGCTGACCTCCAGGTGACAGAGAACAGTTCCCCTGGTGAAAATGGCAGCTTTGGAAGGTGGGCTCCGTGGCCTTATAATCCACTGAGGTCCCTCCCCTCCCCAGACCCCACCCTCCTCTGCCAAGTCCAGGAATTTCCCAGCCTACAGCTGGCAACCCTAGGTGGTGGTGAGCTGCCCCGTGCTCTCGGAAAGCGTGGCTTCGTTTCGCCTTGCTCCCTGCAGTGGCTGTGGGGGGGCTGCCCCCCCCCCCGGCTCAGTTCCTCTTTAAACTGGAGAAAACGAGGTTTAAGTTTTCTTTAGAACAAAGGGAGGAGAAGCCCTACTGCAAACCAGTGGCTATTACATCACATTATGTTTGGTTTATTGATATTACTTGAGTCAGTTATGAGAATAAAGGGGCCCACAACTCTTCATAGTTAATGTATGCATACATTGGAACAAAGTCTGAGTCCAGCGGCACCTTTAAGACCAACAAAGTTTAATTCTGGGTAGAACTTTTGTGTGCGTGCAAAGTGTGAGTCCAGTGGCACCTTTAAGACCACCAAAGTTTAATTCTGGCTGTGTGCATGCACACAAAAGTTTATATGCAGAACTGAATTTTGTTGGTCTTAAAGGTGTGGCTGGACTCAAACTTTGTTCTGTTTCTTCAGACCAACAGGGCTACCCATCTGAATATAAGCAAGCAACAGTAGTCCCACTAGTTTATCTGTACTGTTTTTGTTAATACCAGAAAAAAGATAAGAAAAACGAAACATTATTGGCATCATCCTGCCCAAATGAGGAGAAAGACCAACAAACCAACATTTATTTCAATAAATGGACTAGAGCGTGAGTTTAACTCTCCCACTGAAATCTGTGGACCTTAAAAGTACTTAATTTGAGCTGAGCTGTCAGCTGTTCTACAGTTTGGTGTAGTGGTTTGGTGTAGTGGTTAAGTGTGTGGACTCTAATCTGGGAGAACCGGGTTTGATTCCCCACTCCTCCACTTGCACCTGGCTGGATGACCTTTGGCAAGCCGTAGTTCTGTCAGAGCTGTTCTCTCAAGGACAGTTCTAGGAAGAGCTCTCTCAGCCCCGCCTACCTCACAGGCTGTCTGTTGTGGGGAGGAGAAGGGGAAGGAGCTTGTAAGCCGCTCTGAGACTCCTTTGGGTAGTGAAGGGCGGGGTATAAATCCAATCTCTTCTTCTTCCTTATTCCACTTTGTGCACCTTTCTCTCCTCCCTTTTATCCACTCGACAACCCAGCAAAGTAGGTTAACTGGCTCAAGGGCACCCAGCAAACTTCATGGCAGAGTCGGGATTCGAACCCGGGTCTCCCAGATCCTAGTCTGACTCCCTGACCACTGTGCCACGGTGGTCCTCTTATAGTGGAACGTCTGTACATTGGAAATGAGTCGTCTCTTCTCTTCTGCCCTCTTTCATTCCTGACTTGACATTTCAGGTTGATGCTTCTGGACGGGTGCTCAGTTGAAAAGTGGAAAGACCCCTTGAGCAAAAGATTTAAGGTAAGAGCATTCACTTGCCCCCTCCCTTCTTCTGGAACAGGATGAGGTTCTTACACTTGCCCTTTCAGCTCCGTTCTGCTCTAAGAATCTGCTGGTGGGCTACACTTAGTGGCGACAGTGGGCCAAAATGGTTAGATACAGGATACCACCCCTCCCCGTTGGGGGGATGTAAATTTCCAGCAAACCATTTCATGGACATTCATCACGGGTGTACCAGAAATAAAAAAATCCGTTATGGGAGTTTCAGCAAAACATCTAACCACTTTCGTCATTGGATATGGCTTGTGTTGTGGCTAGTGAATTGACTGCATGTGTACAAGGAGCCCTATTCAGAAGCACACGGATTTTGTGTGTATACAAGCCACTGATCTACAGACACAAGACTCTGGTTTTCCCCTCGGACCACAGGATTCCAGGAGGATGGATTGCAAAGACCACTTCCTTGGCAGACTCATCGCAGTTTCTCCCAAAGTGTTCCAAGGATCCCCCCCCCCCCTTTTTCAATTTCTCTATTTCTGTGGCTGGAAAGTCCCTCTGAAACATCTTTGGCTGGTTTTTACCAGAGAAGCCAATTTTGCTGCTCTCTTTAGATTAGACATTGACGTGCAACATGTATGTAGAAAGGAAGAATGGAGGTAGTTTAAGAGACTGTTCGAATTCATGGTGGTGCTGTAAGCTGGGAACAACATCACAGGTGACAGAGATGCGGAGGAATCAGGAAGCATGGGCATTTAGAAGACCTTCCCCCCTTCATACCCACCTACACTTACAGGGAAGTGACATCCTTAGAATAATAGAATCACAGAGTTGGAAGGGGCCATACAAGCCATCTAGTCCAACCCCCTGCTCAATGCAGGATCAGCCTAGAGTGTCCCTGACGAGTGTTTGGCCTTGCACCACTATCCTCTGTAGCTGAGATATCTATATGGTTGCCAGCTCCAGGTTGGGAGATTCCTGGAGATCCGAAGGGCAGGGTTTTGGGAAAGGAGGGACCACAGTGAGGTGTAATGCCATAGAGTTCACCAGGGCCAGCTCGAGGTATTTCTGTGCCCTAGGCGAGGCTGCCTCATGGCGCAGATGCCAACCTCCCGGTGGGGCCTGGAAACCTGGAGACCTCTGGAGCCAGCCACCCTTTTGCTGCTGCCACCGCCGCCGCCTTCCGCCGCCGCCACCAAAGGGGGTGGGAGGTGGCACAGCTTGGCGCCCCATCTGGGGCCCGGCGCTCTAGGCGAATGGCTAGTTCACCTAGTGGGTGAGCCGGCCCTGGAGTTCACCCTCCGAAGCAGCCATTTTCTCGAGGGGGACTAGTTCTGTAGTCTGGAGATCAGTTGTATTTCGGTATTCATGAGGATGCCACAATCCCATTGGCCGAGGCAATGGTGTGCAATGAGCAGGGGTGCCAACGATTGCATGGGAAAGGCGCATGCACTTACCTCTGCCCACATAGCTGACAGCTATGGGGAGGCAGCCCAGTGAGGAAGTGGCTCCTAGGTGGGCCTAGGTAGCAACCAAATGGAATAATGAGATTTACAAGTAATATCATGGAGAATTTGTGCACCTTTTGGATAGGCCTGTCTCCATATGCCATCTTTTAGACATGCTGGAGAAAATCCTGGCTTTTTTATGGGTGCAAGCCTCTGATGAACAGATTCAGTCAAGTTATAAAGGTAACAGGTTCAGTGTTCTTCTTGATTTTGGGTCATGGGTATCTCTCGGGTTACAGCTGACCAGGCAGTGGGAATCGCATTAAAGATTTCCCACAATCTGACCTGGTACCAAAAGTGTGTCAAACCCGTTATGGAGCCTCCACTGGGCTCAACACACATGGTACCAGTAAACCAGTTCAGCCCTAGCTATGCCTCAAGGAGATCCAGATAAAAAGTATTGAGTGGTTTTCCACTCTGTTAAAAGGCATCTCACACGTATGCTGTACCACGGGGGACTCTGAGGCTACGTGGGGTCAAAAGCAAAGAACATCTTGGAAAGAGTTTACATTTCACGGGTATCACATGGAGTCCCCATGCAGCATTCTTTGGCTGGAAATGTGCAGTCTCCCAATGAGGAAATAGCTTGCACCTCTTTGTGTGGGAGAAGGGCTTACACCTCCCTCAAGTAACTATGTGTATCCATCTTCCCGAGCTGGATGTATGAACCATTGACAGAGTTAGTCTTGATCTGTATTAAAGATTTTCCTCCCCTCTCACTAATCTGTGTGGCTTCCCCCCCCCCCAATATTTTCCCTAGAGGTGGGAGCAGCGACTCCAAGAACTCAAGTTGCGAGCAGCCCAGAACAAAAACCAAAATGCAAGAAACTTTGGCCGCAGCGGGGTACCCAAGCAAAACCCAAAGAACACCAGCCCAGTGCTTGCTGGTCCTAAGAAGACCAATCCACCGAGGCGTGACCAGAAAGAAAGACTCTGGTTTTCCCCTCGGACCACAGGATTCCAGGAGGATGGATTGCAAAGACCACTTCCTTGGCAGACTCATCGCAGTTTCTCCCAAAGTGTTCCAAGGATCCCCCCCCCCCTTTTTTACTTTTCCTTGGCAGACTCATCGCAGTTTCTCCCAAAGTGTTCCAAGGATCCCCCCCCCCCCTTTTTCAATTGCGCTATTTCTGTGGCTGGAAAGTCCCTCTGAAACATCTTTGGCTGGTTTTTACCAGAGAAGCCAATTTTGCTGCTCTCTTTAGATTAGACATTGACGTGCAACATGTATGTAGAAAGGAAGAATGGAGGTAGTTTAAGAGACTGTTCGAATTCATGGTGGTGCTGTAAGCTGGGAACAACATCACAGGTGACAGAGATGCGGAGGAATCAGGAAGCATGGGCATTTAGAAGAACTTCCCCCCTTCATACCCACCTACACTTACAGGGAAGTGACATCCTTAGAATAATAGAATCACAGAGTTGGAAGGGGCCATACAAGCCATCTAGTCCAACCCCCTGCTCAATGCAGGATCAGCCTAGAGTGTCCCTGACGAGTGTTTGTCCTTGCACCACTATCCTCTGTAGCTGAGATATCTATATGGTTGCCAGCTCCAGGTTGGGAGATTCCTGGAGATCCGAAGGGCAGGGTTTTGGGAAAGGAGGGACCACAGTGAGGTGTAATGCCATAGAGTTCACCAGGGCCAGCTCGAGGTATTTCTGTGCCCTAGGCGAGGCTGCCTCATGGCGCAGATGCCAACCTCCCGGTGGGGCCTGGAAACCTGGAGACCTCTGGAGCCAGCCACCCTTTTGCTGCTGCCACCGCCGCCGCCTTCCGCCGCCGCCACCAAAGGGGGTGGGAGGTGGCACAGCTTGGCGCCCCATCTGGGGCCCGGCGCTCTAGGCGAATGGCTAGTTCACCTAGTGGGTGAGCCGGCCCTGGAGTTCACCCTCCGAAGCAGCCATTTTCTCGAGGGGGACTAGTTCTGTAGTCTGGAGATCAGTTGTATTTCGGTATTCATGAGGATGCCACAATCCCATTGGCCGAGGCAATGGTGTGCAATGAGCAGGGGTGCCAACGATTGCATGGGAAAGGCGCATGCACTTACCTCTGCCCACATAGCTGACAGCTATGGGGAGGCAGCCCAGTGAGGAAGTGGCTCCTAGGTGGGCCTAGGTAGCAACCAAATGGAATAATGAGATTTACAAGTAATATCATGGAGAATTTGTGCACCTTTTGGATAGGCCTGTCTCCATATGCCATCTTTTAGACATGCTGGAGAAAATCCTGGCTTTTTTATGGGTGCAAGCCTCTGATGAACAGATTCAGTCAAGTTATAAAGGTAACAGGTTCAGTGTTCTTCTTGATTTTGGGTCATGGGTATCTCTCGGGTTACAGCTGACCAGGCAGTGGGAATCGCATTAAAGATTTCCCACAATCTGACCTGGTACCAAAAGTGTGTCAAACCCGTTATGGAGCCTCCACTGGGCTCAACACACATGGTACCAGTAAACCAGTTCAGCCCTAGCTATGCCTCAAGGAGATCCAGATAAAAAGTATTGAGTGGTTTTCCACTCTGTTAAAAGGCATCTCACACGTATGCTGTACCACGGGGGACTCTGAGGCTACGTGGGGTCAAAAGCAAAGAACATCTTGGAAAGAGTTTACATTTCACGGGTATCACATGGAGTCCCCATGCAGCATTCTTTGGCTGGAAATGTGCAGTCTCCCAATGAGGAAATAGCTTGCACCTCTTTGTGTGGGAGAAGGGCTTACACCTCCCTCAAGTAACTATGTGTATCCATCTTCCCGAGCTGGATGTATGAACCATTGACAGAGTTAGTCTTGATCTGTATTAAAGATTTTCCTCCCCTCTCACTAATCTGTGTGGCTTCCCCCCCCCCCAATATTTTCCCTAGAGGTGGGAGCAGCGACTCCAAGAACTCAAGTTGCGAGCAGCCCAGAACAAAAACCAAAATGCAAGAAACTTTGGCCGCAGCGGGGTACCCAAGCAAAACCCAAAGAACACCAGCCCAGTGCTTGCTGGTCCTAAGAAGACCAATCCACCGAGGCGTGACCAGAAAGAAGTCAATACCAGAAAAATATGAATTCCAGATTTTCCCTGGGAAAAGATCTGCTTGCATGACAAAGGTCCCATCCGGCCTGAGTGGCATATCTCTGTTCTCTGAACTCGTAAACATCCGCAGCAGTGTTCCAGATAGCCATTACTGGTTGTGGTTTACTTTTGATTGCTTTCCCCCCCTCCAAGCCACAGATACAGGTTTTGCAGCAGCATCCGGTTGGTTGATGGAAGCCAATCGATGAGGCATGTTTCAGAGTGGCCTATTATAGTTTCCCGATTAAACATCTGGATTTGTTAATCTGCCATTCAGATATGAGTGTGGCAGGAGTCGGTGAATGTGTGCTCCAGATGTGGCAGCCGCTGTTGGTTCCCTTTCTGTGATGAGCCTCATCATGCAGAGAGGGCACACGTCCAATCATTGTGGTTTCTCTTTCTCTAGTGTTGTTCTGTGAAAGTATGGTAAATGTGGGATTTCTTCACGCCCCTCTGCTAACAGCAGGTGATCTATGTGTCTGTGTGTGCCAGACTGGTGGCTGACTTGTCCAGAGGCCCACGGGTGTGCCTAAAGACACAGTCTTCGATACGTGTGTGTTTGTGTAGTAAAAATACCCCAAATCCCTTCTTTGTCATCTACTTCAGGCCAGCTTTTTGTTGTCGATGTTAATTGTTGGATGTAAACTTTTTTTTTTTTTTTTACTAAAAACAGTATTTTAAAAAGACAAACCGAAAGCTTTGAAATTATACTTCGGTATTTACCACTTGTAGCTTTCTTATGAATGGAGGTTCTTTTTGGACACAGAAATGAAATTCTTGCAAGCCTTTTGACTGGCAGCGCGGTTAAATAGCGTATCCTCTGTGCTATTTAGAAATGTTGTGAAAAGGCAGGAAGCAGACATGTTTCTGGAGCCATTTTTAGCACATCTGAAATTGACCAGCATGATGTGTTAGAGGCCCACCTGGATTTCTTCTGGAGTTGGTCCCTCCTGTTCATTTCAGTGGAAGGAACCCCTTAATAAGCATGGTCCATGGTATGCATGAACTGAAACTCTCCACTGAGGTGGATGGGAAGCTTTTGAAGGTGTGGAGCATCCATTCACCTACTGTTATCTCCTGTGACCATGAAGTGTCTCTTGATTAGGGCAATTGGCTGAAATATAAATACACGCCCCCCCCATGCTCATGTCATTTCCTCTGGACTGTATCAGAAACTGCCACTGACACATACCCCCCCCCCCCCACAGGGCTTCCCACTGTCAGCTATGGAATGATGCATGCTGGAATGCTATGTTTCCCATGTCTAGCTGTTGTATCCCATTGCACATGTGCCTTTCTGGGGTTGCAGTTGCTCAGTTTACATGCGTTTCACTGGCTCTACATAATGGGTGTAATATGGAGATGTGCATGTCAGAGATCATATGTCTTAGCTGAGTGCTTATGATTGCACCAGAGGGGGAAATGACTGAACTGCAAACAGTAGTATGGAGACTATGCCTTCTGTCTGCTCATGCTCCTCTTTGCCGTTGGGGTCCTCTTCTGCAGAGTCTGTGCCTCTTGCGCTAGGCACTTTTCAGTCCCTCGAAAGACATTGGTCTTGTGCAAACGGAAGCCCCAAGTGCCAGAGGAACACGCACTCCGCAGTGGAGACCGGCTCCGCAAGGGATTCGGAGGAGTGTGAGCAGAGACATGGAGAAGGCACCAAGCCCATGTCTGAAAGAGTGCAGAGTTCCATCATGCACGTTGGGCTTTCTCTAAAGGGGACTCCTAGGGCATGGACTTCCAGCTAATCGTGCGTGTGTGATAGGAGAATCTTGCTGGATTGCTGCCAGTTTGTCTAGTGCTGGGATGCAAAAACACCTGTCGAAGCCATCGCTCACAATGTGGCATAGCTGTGGTCTTATTTTTACAGAGACGCACAATTAAGTTATTTGCTCCCTGACTTCAAAAGGCTTTGCCTACAGGATGCATGGAGACAGACTTGTACGCAGCGGCTGCTTCTGCTTTTGGATTGCCCAGAACCACCATGGGCCCCCGGGGGGCAAAGATTTCCTTCCAGATATGTGCTGCTGCCACTCCCAAGGTGGGGCATCTGTCAGGGTCCTTGCCTGCACATCTCCTCTACCACCTGCTTGGGTACCTTTCCCTCGCCCACTCACTCGCGAGCATTCCGCCTCGTGGGCTCCCATCTGCCTGAAGCAGTGCTGCTGGTGGTCAGTGCAGTGACCCTCCTAGATATACACACTGCCCCCAGTGCCATTGAGGAAAGGGAAGGTACAGGGGGTTGTAGTCGTGGTGGGAGGGGTTGTGAGCCGGCAGGGGAAGGACTCACGGGGGGGGGAGATGTGTGGGCAGGGACGGGAAGGGAGGCATGAGCAGAGTTCTTGGTGGTGGGCAGAGAAGGAGAGAGGTGCCTCTGAGCGCTTTCTGTCCTGGGCCCCTCAAAACGTGGAACCAGCCCCCAGAATCCGGTACTCCTAGCCCCCGACACTGGGCTGCACTGCTGATACGGGGAGGCTGTATTTCCCCTGTCTTCATTGCTTCTGTAGATTCTGATGGCAAAAATGGCTGTACACAGCCCTGGCTGGTTGGCGGGAAACTGTCCCTCTTTCCTTTCCTTTCCCCCTGGTGAGTTTGGACTGTGGCATTTTTATTGATATCCCACGAACATTAATGTATTCATCTGTTCTTTTGGTCATCGTCATCATCACTGTTATTTTAAAAAGCAAAATCCATTTATGATACTCTGCTGGGGGGGGGGGACTACAGAGGTGGGCCAATCAGCATTTGGCACAGCCAGCTGTCAGCCAATCCGTGCTATCTAAGCCAGTTCTGCTACAAAACTCAGAGTGCTGCGGTCAATCCACTTTCAGACTGGGTTTTTACTGTGTGAACTGTCAAAATCCAATTCGAAAGTGGACTGAAAGTGCATTGAAAGTGGATTATTTTGTGTATGTGACCGCAGCCAGAATCCGCTGTCCTAGTACTTGGGCCTGGTGCAGAATAAAGAAGTCTGCTCATGCAGTAAATGCTCTTCTAGAGTAATTTCTGTCCTGAGCCGCTTCTGTCTCTTGCCGATGTCACGTCCATCTTAAGTAATAATGCAGAGAAATGTACAACTGCCATCTTAACCGTACACTGCTATTATGACCAATAGTGTAGCTCTCGTATTTCTCTGTAAGATAGATCCAGGTGGGTAGCCCTGTTGGTAGTGGCACCTTTCAGACCAGCCAAGTTTTATGCATGGGATAAGCTTTCGTGTCCAAGCTTCTACTTTGAATAAAACTTTGTTGGTCTTAAAAGGTGCCACTGGACTCAGACTTTGTTCTGGTATTGCTCGTTGACAGTGGGTTACCTGAAACTTGTACAGCAAAGATTTAGAAGGCTGCTGGTTGTATTTCATTTCTGTGAATATAAAATATCATGTGCTGCTTTGAACTGAGAGGAAAACTAAAACCTTTCCTGCATAGATTTTGCACTTTTCTGTTATAATGCAAGGGACATTGTTGGCATTCCACTGTATGAAATAATAAATGCTAAATCCCCCGTCTGACTATTATATCTTTATTGAATGTCTCTTGTGAAATATCATTTTAACAGTAGAACCAATTTTTGTTCGGCAAAAAAAGGCCATTCCAAGACCTTAATATGACTGCTTCCCTTTTATCAAAGTCTTATGTCACATTCCTTAAGTCTTTCACCTGTTTCTTCAATAGAAATGGCAGTGTGCAGTAGTGGTTAGGATCTGGAAGGTCCAGATTCGAATCCATACTTTGCCATGGAAGCTCCCTGGGTGACCCTGGGCCAGTCACATGCTCTCAACCTCAGCTACTTCACAGGGCTGTTGTAGGAATAAAATGGAGATGAGGAGAAGGCTATAAGCTGCTTCGGGTTTTCTACGGAAAGGCAGTAAAATTAATGTACTTTCCGGAAGACATGACAATGCGCCATTTTAAAGTTGCCGGGAAGAGATACAATTAGCAGGAATTCAATCTGTCCAGATCTTATTGATCCCCACTGCTGGACGTCCTGATGGCACCTGGTACCTGGTATTTTTGGCCACTGTGTGACAGAGTGTTGGACTGGATGGGTCACTGGACTGATCCAACATTGACTTCTCTTATGTTCTTATGAAGCTAAATGTCTGGTCTTTCTTGCTCAGACTAAGATCATCCCCGTTACTATTCCATTTGGCCGGTCACCCTTGAATGGTTGCTTCTCCCAGAAAGTTAAAGCATATCCGTCCTAATTTCCTAAAGCTAGGCTTCCCCGGTCCTCAAAACCACCCCCACCCCATTCTCTGAGCAACCTTGCGTAGACCAGCAGTCCATCTAGTTCAGCACCCTGTTTCTTACAGTGGCCAAACAGGTGCCCTGGAGGGCCAACAAACGGCATAGAAGCCAAGGCTTTCCCTGATATTGCTTTCTAACATTGGTACTTACTATTTTGGGATACAGAAGTTCCACTTAGCCACCATTTTTTAAATTTATTTTTAGATTTATAACCCGCCCTCCCCAAGCAGGCTCAGGGCGGCTAACAGATGAGGCGTGTATGCCAGGATCAATACAATTAAAAACAGAATAAAACAATCATTTATACAATGCAATAGAGTGCAGGTGCTCTAGTTGTCATTAAAGTCCTTAATAGCAAGATGGGGTTCTGGTAAAGATGGTCCCAGAACAACAAAGTAACAAAGTAAGTTCCAGACAGCACTGCCATCCATTCTTCATCCCAGGGCCATCTTGCTCCCCGATGGTACCCACTCCAATTGGTGGTCGTTGTGCGGTGATGGTACAGTGGTGGTGGCGACTCGTACTCAAAAGCCTGGCCGAAGAGCTCTGTCTTACAGGCCCTGCGGAACTGCGCAAGGTCCCGCAGGGCCCGGATCTCCTCCGGGAGCTCATTCCACCAGGTAGGAGCCGCCACCGAAAAGGCCCTGGCCCTGGTTGCAGCAAGTTTGGTATCTTTGGGGCCTGGAATTACCAGGAGATGTTGAGTCCCCGACCGTAGTGCCCTTGGCTAGTATCCATT